AAGAGGTGAGGAAAAAACCCCTAAATTGTAAGAAGGGAAGAATTACATCTGGTTAGGGAGAATCAGTAAAGGTTTAGTAAAAAGGTAGCTGTGAAGAACAGACAGGATCTGACAGGTAGGGAAGAGGGGACAGAGTGTTCCAGGCAGTGGGAAAAAATTGCAAAAACTGTGGTAAAAAGGTGTGAGGCATCCCAGAGAATAGTTGAAATGTAAGTATGTAGGAGAAAGACAGGAGATAAAGTTGAAAAGCTGTCATATTACGAATATCCTTGCGTGTCAAAGTAAAAAATTTTTATTTAATTTTGGAAGCTAGGGAGTATGGAGATGATGTAATTAGAGTTGTGTGATTAATGTGATATGATTAATCAGCCAAGAGAAACAAGTCAATCAGGAGTTTCCTCTGTCTCTCAGAACAAGAGTTCTGTTGTCAGAAAATGTGGGATTGAATTGTGGTTCTGTCACTTAGCAGCATGACTGTGGCCAAGTCACTTACCCTGTCTGAGCCAATTCTCTTATGGGTGTGAGAAGCAGAATTTTAAGATGGCTGGACGATTCTCAGCCTCCTGGTGTTCCATCCTGATCACCTTGCATAACATGACAAAAGGGGTTGTGCAGATCTAATTAAGGCTACTAACTGGTTGACCTTAAAATAGGGAGATTATCCAGGTAGGCAAAACCTTGTAACGTGAGGCCTTTATAAGTAGAGAGCTTTCTCCCACTGGTTGCAGAAGGCAAAGACAGAGGCACTGGAAGTACTAAGGGGATTCGACACAAGGGATCCTGCTGCCAGCCCTGAAACAGTAGGCTGGGATACAGCCAAAGGGCCTGGGGGCAGCCCGTGGCAACCTGTGAGGGTCCCTGGAAGCTGAGAGCAGCCCTGGCTGACAGTCAGCGAGGAGACGGGACCTCAGTCTCAACTGCATACAGTGAGTTCTGCCAGCAACCTGAGGACCTCAGAGGAGGATTCTTCCCCAGAGTCCAGCCCAGGTTCCACCTTGAGAGACGCCCAAGTAGAAAACCCAGCCACACCCACCAAGACCTCTGACTTAAAGAGCTGTGAGCTAATAAATGGTGTTGTTTTTAAGACATTAGGTTTGTGACAATTTGTTAAGCAGCAACAGAAAACTATATGGCAACGTTTCTAATACCTATTCTATTTTATGTGATTGCTCAAAGAAAATTACATGAAAGGTTTCCCTAAATTGTAAATATTATACAAATAAAGGTTACAGTTAGTATCTAGTTCATGTCTAAAATAGAAATCACCTCTCTCAACTCCTCTCCCCCATCAAATAGGCTCACTTTATTTATTTATGGTATAATGGTATCACAATTATAAGTTTGTTTTGTTGTGTGTTGCAGGACTGTGACATACGGGCACTGGTGCCTCCTTAGAATAAGACTGAGGTAATGAAATGTGCTTGTATGTGTGTATGTAAATAAAAGAAGAAAGACCCCGAATAGCCAAAGCAATCTTGAGGGAAAAAAACGGGCCTGGAGAAATCACTCTCCCTGACTTCAGACTATACTATAAAGCTACAGTAATCAAGACAATATGGTACTGGCACAAAAACAGAAATGTTGATCAATGGAACAGGATAGAAAGCCCAGAGATAAACCTACACACCTATGGCCAACTAATCTATGACAAAGGAGGCAAGGATATACAATGGAGAAAAGACAGTCTCTTCAATAAGTGGTGCTGGAAAACTGGACAGCTACATGTAAAAGAAGGAAATTAGGACACTCCCTAACACCGTACACAAAAATAAACTCAAAACGGATTAAAGACCTATAAAACTCTTAGAGGAAAACATAGGCAGAACACTCCATGACATAAATCACAGCAAGATCATTTTTGACCCACCTCCTAGAGTAATGGAAATAAAAACAAAAATAAACAAATGGGATCTAAAGAAACTTAAAAGCTTTTGCACAGCAAAGGAAACTATAAACAAGACAAAAAGACAACCCTCAGAATGGGAGAAAATATTTGCAAACAAATCAATGGACAAAGTATTAATCTCCAAAATATATAAACAGCTCATGCAGCTCAGTATTAAAAAAACCAACAACCCAGTCAAAAAATGGGCAGAAGACCTAAATAGATGTTTCTCCAAAGAAGACTACAGATGGCCAAGAAGAACATGAAAAGATGCTCAACATCACTAATTATTAGAGAAATGCAAATCAAAACTACAATGAGGTATCACCTCACACAGGTTAGAATGGGCATCATCAGAAAATCTATGAACAACAAATGCTGGAGAGGGTGTGGAGAAAAGGGAACCCTCTTGTACTGCTGGTGGGAATGTAAATTGATACAGCCATTATGGAGAACAGTATGGAGGTTCCTTAAAAACTAAAAATAGAATCACCATATGACCCAGCAATCCCACTACTGGGCATATACCCTGAGAAAACCATAATTCAAAAAGACACATGCACTCCAATGTTCACTGCAGCACTATTTACAATAGCCAGGTCATGGAAGCAACCTAAATGCCCACTGACAGACGAATGGATAAAGAAGATGTGGTACATATATACAATGGAATATTACTCAGCCATTAAAAGAAACAAAACTGGGTCATTTGTAGAGACGTGGATGGACCAAGAGACTGTCATACAGAGTGAAGTAAGTCCGAAAGAGAAAAACAAATATCGTACATTAACGCATATATGTGGAATCTAGAAAAATGGTACAGATGAACTGGTTTGCAAGGCAGAAATAGAGACACAGATGTAGAGAACAAATGTACGGACACCAAGGGGGGAAAGTGGGGCAGGGGTGGTGGTGGTGGTGGTGGTGGTGGTGGGATGAATTGGGAGATTGGGGTTGACATATATACACTAATATGTATAAAACAGATAACTAATAAGAACCTGCTGTATAAAAAAGTAAATAAAATAAATAAAATAAAATAAAATAAATAAAAAAATAAATAAAAGAAGAAAGAAATTATCAAAGGCAAAGGTTGATAAATGAGACAATATAAATACTAACTTGCAAGAGTGTAGAATAGGTCTAGCAATCCTTTGGAGTGTCAACAGAAAATATGCGCAAGAATAATTTATGCCATGTGCAGCTTATGGACACAGCAATTTACCAGGAACAAGGTCCTTAAACATTCTGAGGTTTGTTGTTTTTTTGTCCAGGTGTGAGGGACATCTAAACCTTTGCAGATTTGTTTTGTTTCATTACAGGGCAAGGGGCACTTAAAATTATGCAAGTAGTATATATTCCCTGTGATAAAACAATATAGAGTTATATAGAGAAATCGAGCATATTAATAATATCCACCCAATCCTACTTTCCTGAGGAAACCATTAACAGGCTGGTGGGCATCCTTCCATACTTCTTTATTCTGCTCAAAGAAGTATAAAAGGTTTCCCCACACTTAAAAAAATTGGAGTCATATTCTACCTATTACTGTGTAATTTGCACTTTTCATTTTACAATGTATTATAAGTATTTCTCCTAGAAAATTTATACACCTGTCACGTCTTAATAAAAGCATGGTATTTACAATATGGATTACCATAATTTAGTCAACCAATTCATTTAGATTGCTTCAAATACCACTATTATAAACAATGTACATTCTTTCCATAGGTCTTTCAACATACATTATTTCCTTAGAATAAATTCCTAGAAATGTAACACTGGATCAGCGAGTATATGAACATTTTAAAAATTGAATGTATGTCAAATAATTTGCTCTCCAGAAAAGTTGTATCAATTTCCAAGCCCTCTACTCATAAAAGTGCCCATTTTCACACTCCCTAGACAACCCCACAGATACACATGTCTTCATTCTCTGCCACTGAGTAGGGAAATGTTAACTACTTGTTTTAATCTGTACTTCCTTTAATACTAGTGAGACTGAGCATCCTTTCACGTGTATTAATTATTCATATTTCCTTTTTTGATGGGTCTGTTCATACACTTTGTCTTTTTTTCCTAATGAAATGTTCATTTTACTGATTTATTAATGATCTCTATGATTCAAGGATTTGTTTTCACTGACTATGACATCTTACTTTAACTTTGTTTATGACCTTCTAAAATTCCTATAGAACTTTTAAACTTTCTTATGCCTTCAAACTTTTCAATTTTTTTGTTTTATGGCTGTTCACATTGCTATCATTCCAAGAATTTTATTATAAAAACAATTTCCTGTGTTTTCTTCTAGTACTTTTGTAGTTTTTAAAAATCTAAAGTTACCATTTTCAAAAAGTTGGCTAGTTGGCCTAATTCCATCTTTTGAATAATTTAATATCATTTATATACACTATGTTTTACTGATCCATCTCCATGTATTTGGCTACCTTGGTGGTAGCCCTACCATTGGTACAGCTTTATAATATATAGTAATACGAAGGAATGGGTTCCCTCATTACTTTTCCTTGCATTCTCTCATTTATTCTTATAAATCAAATAGAGCATCGTTTTCTTAAGTTTCCCCCCAAAAAACTGTTGAAAAATTCATTAAATGTTAGAGAGTAAATCAGGTGTATCTGAGATCTCTATGATATTTAAGTTTTTCCGTTCAAACCACCTTTTAGTCTTTTGATAAAGTTTCATAGTTTTTCTTCGTATAGGTTTTGCTCACTTTCTCCTTGGTTTATTTCTAAATATTTCGTATATTTTCCATCAACTCTTCTGATTGATTACTGCTCAAATAAAGGAAATCTACTGAATTTTTGTATGTTTATATTGTGTCAGGCACCCTAACCAAACTTTCTTATTCATGAGCTTTGTATGTGATTCTCTTACTCTAGGTAACAATTACCTAAAAATAATGATTTTGCTCCTTTCTGTAAATATTTATAGCTTATTTTTTATTGTATTAACTAACTAGACCTAGTAGAACAACACTGAATAATTAAAATCTACTTTTTAATAGTTCAATAATATACTTGCGCCAAGATACACATACTACATATACTTTTAATAATTGTAACTACATTAATTTTTAAAATTAAAAATTTTTTACCATTCTTGATGTTAGGGAAAACAAGATGTGTAGGTGAACTTCTGTTTTCAGCAGCTTCTTTCTTCTGGTTAACAGTTGAAACAAAACTGCTGGAAGTAGAAATCTGGCCTTTGGATCCCCTGTCCAAACCCTAAAAACAGAGAAGTTAACATTGCAGCATAATTCCTAGTCACTCTATTTAAATTATTTTACTGCAAAAATCGTAAACATTTAAAATAGAGATTTTAATCTGATGATAGATGCACGATAGATAGATAGATAAAACCTGTATATATTATTGACTTACCTTTTCCAGGACCAAATTGTTTTAAGTATAAAAGGAAAACAGTCATGCCATCTAACTGCTTACAGGTTGATAAAGTTTGGAAATGGGGATAATAACAGTACCTTCCTCACAGGGTTACTGTGAGGTTTAACTGAGATAATGCATGTAAAACAATGAGCAGAGTTCCTTGCCCACAGTACACGTTTCATTCATGTTATCTGCTATTTTAACTTGGTATTTAGGTAACACTGTTTTTGTGACCTCCACAAATATTTTTTCAGTAGTTAACATGCATATGATACTTCGCAGGTTGATTGATTAAAGGTTTTCTAGTCTTGATGCAACTTCAAAAGCTCAGGTCAAAAGATAAATCTTTTAGAGTTCATTTATTTCTCTAAACACGAGATTGGACTTTGGGTGTAAGGGAACTTAAGAAAAATATGGCTAGGCATTCTTTGCTTTCAGAGTAGAGAGTTTTTCATTTCCTCCTTCCTCATTTACCAGACTGATTTCCACTTAGCTTTTTAGAATCAACTCAGATGCCATGTTGCAAAAACATTTACACTCACCAAATATTCACTTTCCCACATCGCCCACTCTCTTACAGCTAAATGCAGCCATCTGATTAATTCTAACAGGCCAGAAGCAGAAGTGATGTCTGCCATTTTGGGACCAGAAAGTACTGATGCATTTAAGGCTGGTGGGACAATCTCCAGTTCCTCTCTCTTTTCTTCCACTGTAATAATCCCAGAGGCTACAAGCTGAGATGCTACAGCATTCGTTGGCTTGGGTCCCCGAATCACTACGTGAGGCAGAGCCACTGCTGACCAACATTAGATTATACCATCAGCAATAAATGCACCTTTACAATTTTCAAACACTGAAACTTGGGACTACCTTGTAAATGCAGCCTAACCCATTCTATCATAACTTCTCTGCAAAGCTTTTTCTGGTGGTCACCATTTCTACAAAAATCAATCACTCTTATTTATACTTGTGATTTACTTAAATTATTCCACTGAAATTATAATTGGTGTCATACTGGTCCTTCATGCTGGACTAGAAATTCCTTATTCATCACAGAGCTTGACGTCCAGGGAATCCTATGCATAGATCCTATACTTCAGAGTAAATTTATTGTTTTTTCTTTTTAAGAGATTAGTATAGAAAAATAAGCCATAAAAAATTCAGATGCTATACACATAGAATTTAAAAGTTTCTGGACTTGAGATTTCTAGAAATTAGTTATTTAACTCCTTTATTTCATAGATGAGGAAAATGGAATTGAGACTCACCTAAAGTCATTCAGCTAACAAAACAACAGAGATGTGAGGGGCACTAAATGAGAACTTGAGGAATGCTTCCATAAGGAAAGTACATATGCGATTTTGTGTGTGTGACATCTTTGGCTGCTCAAAGAATTTGGGTTTGTTTGTTTGTCTGTTTGCTTTATTTGTTTTTGCTTGATTTTGGCTAGAGTTAGGCTCAGTGAAGTCTGAATCAATATTTCTGTGTTAGGATTAGGCTACATGATCCAGCCTAAAAAAAGTTAAACATATTGCCCAACTGAAATAAAGTCATCTTCTAACAGATGTAGGTATGAATCTGAAGTTTCAGAATCACAGACAACGTCATCTAGGGTCTTGTACAGAACATATGACACGCTGAGTGTTTCACAAATGGTTACTCCTATGATAATAACTCACTAAAACAAGTCATGTATTGAGTACTAGGTATATGCCTACTATTATATTAGGTGCTTTAATACAACATTCCTATGAGTTGCATATTTACACTTCATTTTACAAATGAGGAAACTGAAGTACCATGCCGAAGTTCACAGAGCTGGGAAGTGGGAATTCAAACTCTTGTCTGAATAACCTTAATGTCTGTATTCTTAAACCACTATAGCTCAGAGTTTCTCACTACAGTAGCTATCACTTATTAAGGATTTATCATGCGATAGGAAGTATGTTACATATATCAGCCTGTTTTCACAACTCTTGTGGTTGATGTTATCTTCTCTACTTTTATAGATATATGCTGAATGAAATACAATAGCTTCAGGAGCAACTCACCTAACCAGAGGAAATTAACATAAGCAGAAAAACTAACTGTACTTTAGGAAAATCTTTGATATTCTAGCAATCTGGGAAAGACTCAATATTTTATTTTATTTTTCTCCCCCTTCCTCTACTCCTTCTTAATAAAAGGAGATCCCAGAGAACATTGCTTGGTTCACTTGTGGAATCTTCAAATAATTAAAAAAAAAACCCACAAGTAACTGATTCAATCAATAAAGCCATTTAACATCTATCAGTTCTAATCTCTAACAGAGATGTAGATTCCCAAGGAGGACAGAGAAAATTGGAGAAAGAGATTAATAAAATAGTGATATGCAATACTTTTCTATAAAAGTCTTTGTAAATTACATAATTTGCATAATCTTGGTAAATTAAAACAATATGCTCAAGTTCACAGACCTAGCTAATTAGAAAAATAAAATTAAAATAGCCTATACATTTGAAAAAGTATATCATTCCTTGTTATAACTGCCCCCTGCAGTGGAAGCCGTGGAGTCCTAACCAATGCACGTCAGGGAAGTCCCTAAACCAATCTTTGATAAAAGAATAATTGCTGGCTCTGTTCCATCATGAAACACTTTTTAAAGTCATAATATCTCACTATATTAGAGTATCTGAAGTAAAATTTTTTTAACTGTTTACAAAATTCATTATTTTGTAATGTTTACAAAATTCATTATTCACAACATATTTTAAACTACTAGCTTTGCAACCAGCTGGAAATGCTAGCATTTTAAATCATATCAAGTAAAAATTAATGTTGCATTCTAGCTATTAGATAAGTGAGACTGGCAGTTTTATTTACTATAGAGACAACACACACAAATGCACAGGTAGATGGATTCTCCATAGAGCTCTTTGGTTTAGTTGGCTGTGCAAAGTTGTCATAGGGGATCCAGTCACCAGGGTATGTTAAATTATGTTCAGTATCTTCTATTTGAGAAGAGATGTACATAATGTTATTTCAGAAAATGTTCCATACAATCAATGACTGGGTATTCTAAAATGTCCAACAACACTTGGCTAGTTGGAAAATTCACTTATGTAGAATATCTGTCATCAGTAATACCAAATAAAAAGCATTAATGGTAATAATACAAAGGAAATTCTACATACACTAGCATAGTGGTTCTCAAACTTTCTAGTTTCAGGACCTCTCTGCATTCTTAAAAATTACTGTATGTATGTACAATTCCTTTTAAAATAGAATAAACCCACTTATGGACAATTAACTATTTTCCCAAACAAAAATCAGTGAGAAGAGTGGCATGGTTTACATTTTGCAAATCTATTTTTATATCTGTTTCTGCATTCAATTTGTTGCAATATCATGTGTCACACAGAAAACTACACCGTACACTCGAGAGAATGAGAGAGAACAAGGCAACACAAATAACATCCCAGTATCGTTACAAAGGTAGTTTTGACCTCATGGACATCTAAAAGGATGTTGAGGACCACATGTTGAGGACTGCTGCAGTAGGAATAAACAGTAATTAGAACGAAGAATGAATCTAAGAAATCTTTGGAGAAGAAGAAGACAACATTTAAATCTGCACTAATATAACCATTTGCTACTGAGCGCTTGAAATGTGCTAGTAAGTGTAAAATACACAGTGTTCAAAGGCTTAGTATGAAGAAGAGATAAAATATCTCATTAAATGTCTATATTGATTAAATGTTGAAATGGTAAATTTCTTGATATACTGTATTAAATAAAATACATTATTAAAATTTATTTTACGTCTTTATTTTTATTCTTTTTAATGTGGCTATTAGAAAACTTTAAATTATGTATGTGGTTCACATTCTATTTCTATTGGACAGAGCTGATATAGATGAAAGAATAATTTCCTAAACTAGATCCAATCCAACATACAATCTTAGGAATTAGGACAGAATTATTATTCTGATTTCATCATTTCCCTGCATCATTCTGGAAGAAAAGATTTGCTGGACAGGTAGCAAATTTAAATACGGTATAAAATATAGACGAAGAATCAAAGATATCTGAAGTAATAAAAACTGAGTTTCTTGCTTTGGTCATTTCAGATATGTATATAGGGACAATGGCAATCTGTACACTTTGGTCACACCTCAATGAAATTTATTTTTCAAACCCAAAGATGAATAGTTCAGCAATACATTAAGTGCTCTTAATATAAAGCAGGGGTCCTTCAGTCTCAATGAGTCCAGGGAATACCTATGGTGCATAGAAAAACTACTTTACAAAAGACCTGAGTGGCTTCCTGAGATACTAAGCAAATGTTACTATGTCAAAAGATTGGTGAACAAATGTACATTTATATGTTTTAAGTTAAAATAAAAAGCACTGAATATACTTTGCTTTACCAACTTTTAAAATAAACTGACCTAAACTACCAGTTAGGGCCACACCAGATGAGAGGCCTTAACCGTATTTAGAGTCTACAAAGGAGACTATTTTAGGCCCTGTTCCTGGGTAAAGGTATTTTGTTCTTCTTTTTTGTATGTTTTTTCACAGTTCCTTATTAGGATACTAGGTTATAAAATCAGTGCTCTATAACCTTCTACTAAGATGTGAAAAGTTGGCTACTTTCAAGGTGTGAAGAATCTCCCTCCCCAACTAAATAGCACCGGCCCAAGTGAAATTGCTTTCTTTAAGTGATGTAAACCACATCTTTCAAAGGAGACTAGGAAGGATGTGGATTCTGAAACAAAACTTTAACACTCAAATAAAAAAATCACAATGCGATTGACCTTATAGATAACTGAAAACTAACTCTACTTAATACAAAGGAA